TGAGTTAACTCGGATGAGTCAAATCACTGGGTAAACTCGTTGACTTTGACCGGGGTCAACCCGTTGACCATTGACTTTGACTTTGACTTTGACCAAAAAGTTAAAAATTTTGAAAAATCATATTTTATACTTTTTGACGTCCTGAGATCGATTCCACAGTCCGTTTTGCCAAATTCGGACTCGAAAGCCTCGAAATTGTCAGTCAAACCCGTTTACTTTGACTTTGACCGAAAAGTCAAAATTTTCGAAAAATCATATTTTATGTTTTTCGACGACCTGAATCCGAATCCGAAGTCCATTTCGCCAAATTCAAACTCGGTAAGTTGTTTTTCCCTGATTTATCACCCGATTCGATCCATTTTTCGTAATTAAGTTCCATTTTTAATGAAATTTCAGTTGATATGTATCAAAGGAATTATTGGAAGTTGATTTCAAGATCGAGGGCGTTAAAATGGAATTTATATGGTCAATCAGTGTGTCATGGAAATCGAGGTAATACATTACTACCTCTTTATGCTTTATGGAACATGTTGATAATAGATAAATGCATGAATGTATATGATTTATTTATTATGCCTATTTGATTATGGATGGAGTCGAACCGAATACGGTTTAAGTGATAAATTAGTTAAGATTCTATTGAATTACAAGTCCTGTGATTAAGTGATAAGGAATCAGTTCTGAATATGTAAATTATAATTTATCTTATTAAAGGTACTTGGATGATAAATTATGAGAATACTACGATTAGGTAAAATTACGAAAATACTTTTATGTTGTAATAAGGACAAGAATTGACTCTGGAAGTTGGATAAGAATTTTTAAAGACATATTGATATGAAGAAACTGTTGATGTGTACAAAAAATACTGGTTTTGCTTAGGAAATCGGGATAACCGATTTCTAAATCCAAGATGACTTGTACAAGATACTAGAAGTTTTGTTAAAAAATAATGTAAAGTTTAAAGATTATCCGGAAAAGAGATAAATCCTAGAATCTATGAATTATAACTATCTTTGTTAAGAGTCTTAATACCGAAATTATATGGTTAAGAAAGTATGAAATTACCCTTGAGAGGAAAAAATAGTCCGAATTGACCCTGAATGGAAAAGTACTCAAGAAGTCATGCCTAAATCGATGAATTACTAGTTTTATCGTTAAGTTACACGTTTATACAACAAATTCCTGATAATCCGTAAATCTCCGAGTTATGAGTAAATACCTGAAGAATAATTTATCGATTATGCTCTTTTGATAAAATTGTTCGAAAGGACTGAAATAAATGATAAGTTTGAATTTTATAATAAGATTTGACGGAAGGAAATGATTGTAATACACTGGATCTATAAAATGACCAAAATATCCCTGGAATGGAAATGACCCAAGAATATCACCAAGCTCAGGAATGATTGGATATCCTCGAGCTATGAAATGAATTGAATAAAACTGAGCACCAAAAATGACCAAAATGACCTTATGGTCTAGACTAAGTAAATGTCTTGGTTAATTAAGAAATTCAAATAAACATAGGTGTTGTACTACCCTTAAAAGTAATGAAACACAATTTAAGTGAGTAGATCAACCCTAATGCTATGTCAATACCTGAATGGCATAGATATCACTTGAATGCGTGCTCATTCTCTCAGGTTTGGATCGATGATAATTCTGGAAGTACTTAGCTCAGCTCAACTCTAAATCGCATTCGGTACTAAGAAGTGGATATTCGTTAGACAAATCAACCACGAAGGCCAAATTGAACTGAACAGAAGTACAATACGTATCCGAAATTCAGAAACGTCTGAATTACTCTATAAAACCCCGAAGTAATTGGAATTGACTTAACTGCTAAATGAACTAAGTAACCTCAATGACTGAGGATTAAGTAAGTGATTTGGATAAGTCTGGAAACTCTGATGAGTTTATATAGTGTACCATTACTATGGGTTATGAACCAAAAATTAAGTACGTCAACATTTCCTGTTATCGTTGAAGCGTGGAAATGAAATAAAGCCCCTTGGAAGACCCATTCAGCGATGACTCAAAAGATGATTTATGGACAATAATTGTTGGTATTAAAGAATGAATACCTGAAGGACAAAGAATGAATCGGTCAACATGCATTAGTTTTGGGAGTTGTTCAGCTTGAGTTATATTGATAATCTGATAGATCGACACAGACTGTAAATGTCATGAACCTTCGTCTCATTCTGAATAACTGATGATTCCGCCAGTTATTGGACTCTTCCAATAGTGATTCTAAATTCCGACATTCTATCGGTATAATGAAGATCCGTGTTTCTCTGCCCGATAAGATTATCATGTACCTCTGAATAATATATATAAACTCTGGTGTGTTCCCTAATGACATAAATATTTTATCTGATTTACGATTTGAATTCTGTTATGATACCATACTTGGATTCTGATATGATACTTGACCTGGATTCTGATTTGATACTTGACCTGGATTCTGTTATGATGTATGACTTGAATTACGTTTTGATTTTTTATATATCCGTTTACGGACGTAACATGTTTTAATTGGGGTATTGTTGGAGGAAGAATATTTGCAGGCTCCTCGGCTTTGTGCTCAAGGCCTTACTGGACTTGACGGGGTTGTATGGTTCTGGGGAACCTACACATTTTGGACGTGTTCGGATGGGGGAATTACTATGGTTTTTGAATTTTAAAAATATGTTTTAAAAATATATGTATCTTTTCACTGGTTTTATGGGAACACACTGGATAACCTATTCTGATCTCCTGAACCTAGACATCCGAAATATTTCCATCTGAACTGAATACTATCTGTTACTACCTGAGATATCAATGGGACCTCAGCTCAGCCTAAAAATCTGTAGATATCTGAACCAATAAGGAAATATATATGTTTATCTGTATCTGTACGCTCTTCAGCATCATCTGGTAGTTCTGTATTACTGAGCTTTTCGAAGTTTACTCTATTACTCACCATTGCAAGTTAAAGGAATTGTACCAGTGTAGCTATCAACTTCAGTAAAGGAGTTCTTCCGGTGTTGTTTGCAGAGTATGGTACATTTGATTAGGGGCATGTAATTGTATTTTGTTTTATATATGAGTCTGAAAATCTATTTTAATTCTGCATACCGATTTAAAGATTTTATAAGTTTACATGTTTTAATAAAAGTTTTAAATTTTCTGAGATTTTTACAGTGGGTCGCTCCGGTGGCCCTAATGTGACACCACAGATCGGATCGGGTTACCCGCATCGGTCTGAGGGGGTTACACTTTAATTTATTATATTCGAATCATTGTACGACCACACGGTGACCCACCACGGGGTACGATATGTGTTATTACAGTCCGAGTTAAGACATTAACATTATTAACCTTTAACTTATGACCTTTATTTTATTTTTATTTCTAATGCTACTAACAGCTAACTACTAACATTTTTTATTTCATTTTTTATGTCACTAACCGCTAATTTTTATTTTTTCGTATTAGAACCATTGTACGACCTTGCCATGACCAGTCACAGGTATGAGTCGCCTTATTACGTTCTGGGTTAACAATTAAAATATTAATTTCTAAACCTTATTTTCTTGGTATTTACATTCCAATATATTAATTATCAGGTTTTATTATTCTGCCCTTTATTTTTTTGTATTTACATTTAAGCCCTTTTAAATTCCAGCATTTACTTTTCAGCTTGTTCTTTAATTTGAGCTTCATATTATGCTTTATTTCATTTTAGTATTCCATGTTGTTTATAAGTTTTATGTCATTTCTATTGCATGTGATTTGCTTTACTTGTATAATTAGTCCATAAACTTTTTATTATTTTATTTTAGTTCCTATTGGATGTTGATTTTAGTTTCTTTTATTTATTAGTTTTCATTTTTAATCTCCCATATTATTAATGGTTTTGATGTGTGACAATCCTTGTAATTTTTCATCAATGTAGATCTATTTTAATTTAGATTTTTTTACTTTTATGAATTTGGCCCGTGTTTCTTATTTTATTTTGACCCTCGTACTATTATATGTGTAGTATAACACTACCTATTGTTGTTTAAAATGATAGAATACCTCTTAAACTCGGAAATGATAATCACTACCTTACTTCGTACTCGTATGAATTTTTGAAAGCATATAACATAGAATGGGCTTGAGAAGTGCAACCTATCGAGGTAATACGATGTTCGAACGAAAATGAACTTGAAAATAATCGAGTATGCTTTGATAAAAAAATGAAATTGATCAATGTTAAATAAAAGGATCACATTTTAAATTTTTACTCGAACCTACAAATTCCACCACTACGACAACGTACAAGCAATCATGTACCAATTTTGGGCTATGTGGAGGTGCTTACTCTTCCCCACATATGACCAACTCCCAAGCCCTTAAAAATGAATATTTGATAAACGCAGACTCATTTTGTCTGATTTTTTTAAAAATCGTTTTTTTAAAAAAAATTAAGTATTCAACCTATCTAATCAAAATGACGATTGTGACTCCAAATCCTTTCCAAATAAAATTAATTTTGAAACCCATTATTTCTCGAAAGTCATACCGTACCTATTTTTATCATTTAAAAAAATGGTGTCGGTGGTGTGTTAACAATGTTTGTAAAGTAAAAATAGCAAGGATAGGTGACCATATTTATGGATATTGGAAACAGGTTACAGGAGAGGGGAATTCCAAAAACACGTAGCAAGAAACAAGCAACATAGCTAAGGGATGGTTTAGAAAGAGGTTAACTGATGCTCAACTAGGTTAAAGTCCGAAAATCTCTAGCATCAAAATGAACAATGGAAAAAATATCTTCACATATAATTCCAATGCATGGGTTATAAACTTGTTAGTTTTTCCCTCAAATGAACCAGTTTCTAAAAACTGTGAAATCTACACACGAATGACATACATGCAAACATGTCAGCCTACATATATGTACACATGCTAGTACACATCTTTGCTGAAGTTTTATGTTTTATGCTGGGATTTGGTACACTGTGATGGGGGCATTACTTGATGTTGTAGGAAGATTGAAGAACCTTCTAGACGGGACATATGGAAGTGGGCAGCAGTCAAAGGCTCTAAAATCACCTGAATTGTGGAGAAAGACCATTGGTTGAGGGTCCATTTCCTTCACCTATAAATAGGAGTGTTGTTCTCATCACATGATCATTGAATTCTTCATCTCCTATATCTTTCTCCATATATTTGAGCCACGATGCAAGTCTAGTTCAACCGTCAAGGAGTGTAGCAGCAGCGAAGGAGCAACAATGATCAATTAGGGTTTAGCATTGGCTTGTTGTTTCGAACTTGAGAGAGGAAAAAATGATTTTCTTAATGTTGAATTTTTATTACTTTTATTTTGGGTATCGAACATAAAGTGTTCAATTGAATGCTTATATGATGACTTTTGGTGATTTAAATTATGTTTATGATGGTGTGGTTTTAATATGATGTTGATTAGAGATAATATCATCTTATACATGTGCTTTTTTATTAATTTTAGAGATGAAATTAATTTAGGATGCATGCTAGTTTTGTTACAAAAGAAGTGCTTAAGATAGTAGCATATATATATAGAGAGAGATATAGGATACCTATGATTATGCTTGATTATGAACTTATAAGATTTTTAATGAGAACTAGAAGTTTAATATTGTGGATTTATCTTAGCATAACTCATTAACATAGTACTTCAGCATTACTATTGTGTTAGCAGCCCAAAAACAATAGCATCTTATGTCCATTGGTTTTTAATGCTCCCTTGATTGTTGTAGCTTTTCCCTGCTCTGTAATATTGATAATTCTATTTTTACTTTTTGTTCGCCAATTATCAACTTCAACGCTTCTTTACACCTTAACTCTATTGTAATCACTTTGCTCCCTATGGATTCGACACCAGTAACACTCTTTTGTTGCTACTTTGTTACTTGTTTGACAGTGTATGCTTACACTTTTCTGTAGCATTTACACAACATCACTTATAAGCAATTTCACCCAGCCAAAGCTCCAGGCATTAACGGCCTCCCGGTAAGTTTATATCGATCCTTTTGGCCATTGATTGGGGATGATGTTAAGACCTTTTTTCTTGACATCCTTCATGGTCGAACTCCCATGGATTCGATCAATAAGACGGTGCTAGTTTTGATTCCAAAAGTCAAGGACCGGACGTTAATCCATCAATTTCGGCCTATCGAGTTATGCACAGTGATTTATAAGATTGTTTCCAAAGTTCTTGTTAACCACTTGAAGCATATTCTACTAGATTGTGTGGATGATACACAGGTTGCCTTCGTTTCGGGTATAATCATCTCCGATAATTTTCTTGTGGTGCAGGAACTCTTTCACTATTTGAAACATGATGCTCATGGCCATTCTCGTGGGGTTAATTTAACACTTGACGTGGAGAAAGCTTATGACAAGATTGAATGGTCGTTCCTTCAATTGATGTTGTTGCACCTTGGATTTTATTCGGATTGGGTTTTTTTTCTCATGACTTATGCGAGAACAGTCTCATATCAGGTTCGAATCTATAGGTTGCTTACCGCTTTATTTCAACCAGAACGGGGGCTTCGTTAAGGAGATCCTCTATCCTTTTTTTTTGTTTGTTCTTTGTATGTAGGGATTGTCCTCTATTTTACAGTTCGATCAGAATTCTCACCGTCTATCTGGTCTGCGTACATTTGCCCAAGGTCAACGAATTACACATTTGTTTTACGCCGATGATATCTTTTTATTTTTACATGATTCTGAAGCTGAGTACCACAAGTTGTATGAAGTGCTTCACCATTTTGAGTTGGCTTCGGGTAGATTATTAATTCTAAGAAGTTCAGCATTTATTTTAGCCCACACACACGTGCTGCTCGTTGTGATTTGTTGTGTTCGATTTTGGGAGTCACAGCTGTTGCTGATCCTTGTCGTTACCTTAGCTTGCCACTTCTTATCAATTCTCATCGGGAAAGCTCTTTTAATTTTCTTCGTGATCGACTGGTTACGCAAGTTCGTGGTTGGACTACTATTATACCATGGTGGTCGAGAGGTGTTTCTCAAGTTTGTTGGCCAAGCATTGCCTACTTATGCGATGGGTTGCTATCTATCGCCCATTGGTCTGCTTAATGAACTCACTCGAGTGATGCAAAATTTTAAAAATACTTATGCCAACAACCCCACCAATCCATTACGAGTTGGACAGTCCATGGTTCCAAATCAACCAGTGTGGAATGAATCCTTGATCCGTAATGTGTTTTCCGATTCGGATGCATCCTTGATACTTCGTTGTCCTATTGCGCCTTCATCTTTTGACTTGCGGATATGGAGTGAACATTCTACCGGTGTTTAGTCAGCACGTTTGGGTTACTTTTGGTTAACACGATCGACCGTCTATCATCCCTTCTTCTCCCTCGGGTCTTTGGTTATTTATGTCTCGCCTCCCAACCCTGCCAAAGATAAAACTATTTGGGTTGTGGCTCGCCCATGAAGCTCTCTCTGTGGCCCGTCGTTTGGTTTCTGCTGGTATTGATGATGGTCTCTGTGCTATTTGTGGTAATTCCGATTAAACAGTTCTCCATGTCATCCGTGATTGTATTGATGCACAATCTATTCTTTTTTCTGTCGGTTTTTCTCTGTGCATTACTTTTCCATCACCATCGTATGGTGCCTGGTTAAAAGTATTGATGAATTTGACTTCGCCTGAAAGGTTCGCAGAATTGTTAGGGTTGTTGTACTCTATCTGATATCGATGCATTTACATCCATGAGCAACGCATCCTCCATAGATGGTTCATCATCTCCGACAGCAATGCGTTGCAACATTCCTTTATCACTTCCACATGTCATTCCTCCATGTTGAATGCAAGGTACGTGCTTTCATCTCGGCATAAACTTGTACCTGGTATGTTTAAAATCAATGTTGATGGTGCATGTCCATTTAACCAAGGAGCTGTTGCGATTGGTGTTCTCGCTCGAGATTCTACTGTGTTTGTCGGTGCTGGTCGAACACAAGTAGTGCCTGATCACGGTGACCCTGCAATTGTTGAAGTCGCTGTTATAACAGTCTGTATCCGACAACTACTTCGCCTATGCATCAATATCTCCTTGGTAAATTATTATCTAGTTGAGGAGCGCCAACTTTTGGATTCATTCCCTCATATTGAGGCATGTTCCATTCGACATTCGGCAAATACTACCGCTCATGCCCTTGTTCAATGGTCGTCAACCATGAACTCATCTTTTGCTTTTGATTATGATTTTTCGGATTTTATTTCTACTAATGTAATTCATGACGCTATTTCAGGATGATACATTTTTGTTGAATTTCAAAAATATATATATATAACTTTTAAATATACACTAATTGAATCATTGAAAACAAAACTCATATTACACACTGTTGATGTCTCTCAGCTCATGTTTATGTTTTTGCTGACACTTATCTTTGATACATACATATGCTTTTTTTTTCTTTTTGGTATATTAATTTTTCTTATTTTTATTTTGATCCTTATATCCTTTGCCTAGGTAACACAAATGGGTATTATTCTATTAAATAAATTTTAGTGCCATTTTGTTAAATAATCCAAAATTATTATTTAAATAAAAAACTCACTATTTTACGTAAAAATAATTCGATCAAACAAATTATCATACATCATGGGTTACGTTATTAAGTAGTTGATGTGATCAATCAGTAATACCATTTACAGCCGCCGGAGGGAGAGAGAGAGAGAAAAGAAGAAGATAGACTCGTGGTTTTTGGTTGGATGTTGGAGGAGTAATCAACCACTATAATCATTTCATTCGTCCATTTTTAATTGAACTTGTCCACATCTCTAGAGAATTGGACCAAATCAAAGGACTATTTACCTTTTATACCCCTAGAGATTTGGGCATCATATTTTACCAAATCAATACATGCATAAAAAACGTAGTCCAAAATAATATATGTTGAAATAGCAGCTAGGCCCTTTCATCAATAGGTCACACCTTTAACGTTTACCATTAATCATTGCCACCATCAATAGGTTAGCTTAACTTATATAATCAATATGGCTTTGATGCTTCATTGATTGGATGCTCCATTGTTTATCGTAAGTGTAATCACCATTTTTACCTTGACAGTAGTCATCTCCACGTTGCAACTCCAGCATATTCCAGCAAGCCCAGAACAACTGTCCCTCCACCAGAACAGTTGTCCCTCCACGTTTCAGCAACTTTCACGTCGTCGGTAGCTCCCACGGCCTCCCTTGCTCCACGTCCTGAATCAGCCAATCATCACAAAAAATAACATAATGTAAATCTTTATTTTTTACATGTAAACTGTGGCTATAAAAACCCCATAACAGTATGTAAAGAGGGAGAGGAATCAAGAACAATACAAAGAAAATCAGAAACAAAAATAAAGCAAAGGTTATTTTTACATTTGATCTTTATTTTTCAGTTTGGTATTTCATATTTTATTTTTTTCGAAATAAAAAAACCAGTAATAAAAAAAATAGAAATATAAAGGAACGATTTTACCTCGTTCATAGTTCTTCGTCGGAGTCTAGGTTGCCGGAGAAACGTCGGTTGAAGAATTGGAGAAAGGCTTGAGATTTTCAGTCTCGTTTTTGGTAGTTTAATCCCAAATCGGGATTTAAAAATTTTTTAAGGATAAATTTTTAGGTTCGGGTTTTGTGTGGGATAATCGGAAGAGTGTTTGGTCACCGATTTACGGTGGTCAGTGTCGAGGCCTAGGCGTTGAATGGCTCTCGACCGAGCCAAGGAGAGGAGAGCTTTGGGTTACTGAGTTGAAAGAAGAAGAAGAGAGAAAGGAGAGTGAAAGGAGAAAAATGAAAAAGAAGGGAACACATTACTGGAAAGAAAAAAAAAGTAAGAGTTGTTATCATTTTATTTTTTGGGTAAACTACATGCAAGGTCACTGATTTTTAGGAGTTTCTTATTTTGTTCATTTATTTTAAGGGTTAATCATGAAATAATCCCTCTAATTTAGAAGTCTATTTACAGTTTAGTCACTGATTTTTTATTTATTTATTTTATTTCGATTTTTGCATGCTAATTTCTATTTCATTTCATTTTAGTCACTGAAATTCATTTCTGAGCATATTAATTTTGCATTTAAATTTTAATTTATTATATTTTAGTCACTAAATTAATATATACTTAAGGTAAAATATCATGATTAATCATTTTAATTTTAAACAAATTTATTTTAATCCCGTGTTAATTATTAGGGTAAATTACACTTTTAATCACTTATATTTCATAAATATTTTGAATAAAAGCTTTTAATTTTAATATATTAATCACTATTTATAAGTTCTATTAATTTTTATATTTTGCATTTTAATCCTATTATTTTAAATTTTATTTGTTTTAGACATTGTTTAGTTATATTTTAATTTTATATGTTTATTTTCAATATTATTAGTATTATTATTCTTCTTCTTATTTAGTCATATAAATATATATATAAATAAATAATATTTGTTTTATTTGTTTTCTATTAAATAAATATCCTATTTTATAAATTTAATTTTATATAAATTACTTTTAGGAATAATAATCATATTTTAAATATTTATTTATTTTTCAATATTAAGAAATGACAGTCTTAAAGCAACTGGATGTCCATTTTCTGATATTTTTAAATAAATAAATATTTTACTTTTATAAATTATATATATTAATCTATTTTTTAATTATTTTTATTAATATTTATTTATTTTTTAATATTAAAAAAGAGTTGTCTTAAATCACCTAGAAGCCTTTTTCTGATATTTCTAAATAAATAAATATCTTATTAATATATATATAAATTAATATATTTTCTTAAAATTATAAATTTGAAATAAACAGGATTATAAATTAAATATATATTTTAATTTTTAAATTTCCAATAATAGAGACAATTTATAATTAATAAGTATCAATTTTGGGCGTTGTGGGGGTGCTAATCCTTCTCCAAACGTAATCGACCACGAATCCCTTTTTATTATTAAAAAGAACGAATCTTTGGTTAAAAAAGCAGATTAGTTTATCTTTTAACTGATGTTTTCTTAAAAACTCTTTTAAAAGATAATTTTTAGGTATTCGACCTACCTGACCCAAAAGGCCGATGGCGACTCCCAAAACATTTTAAAAACCATTTATTCACATCACTTTTCCCGCCGAGTAAAAATTTCGTGCCCGGGCGAAAACCGGTTACGACAGCTTGGCGACTCCGCTGGGGACTGGTTAAGCTTTTAAAATCAATTATAAATTGTATCTATTAATTAGAAATTAAAAATTCATATATTTAATTTATAATTCTTTCTTTTCAAAATTTTTATATATACTTATTATTTTCATAATATTTATATGTATATTTTTTTTATATAATTTTATTTTATTTTCATGTATTAAATTTCATTATTTATTTGTTTGTCAAAGGTTTGAATATTTCTCCTCACACACAACACTTGCATTGCATAACATAAGCTTTATAATCAAGCTTGTCCCTTTTAAGTGGGAGTGAAAGCGACGTCTTCGTGAGAATTTATTCTCCGTGTCAGACCTAGCAAGTAGCTTTTGGGATTCATATGCTCTATGTCTTCGTGAGAATTTATTCTCCGTGTCAGACATAGAGAATTATATCCCCTCGAATTGAACTCGATCCACTTTAGTCTGTGATGGACTAGGATAAAGGGTTAGCAGCCCAAGGGGGCACTAACAAGGACAATTCGGGTACCTTTACTTCTAGAACTGAAACCCTGCATATAATAAACCCTAGCACTTCACCTGATCTAAGAAGTACTAAAACGCTGTCCATAGGTGTACACAAAGGAGAAATAAACTCTAGCTTTTAATTTATTTAATTTATTATTTTTCTCTCTGAATAAATGCCTGCGAATTAGTAATCATGTTGTTAGGTTAATTTTTCCAAACAAAGCATGGAACTAGAAAGCATGAGGTTAGGATATATTATATACCATGATAGGTAGAATATTTTCTTTTCATTAATTGGTACTTACCAATTTATTTATTTCCTTTCTCATTTTTATTTTTCATACATTTTGTTTTGTTTTAACTTGTTTATATTGATTTCTTTTGTTTTGTGCTTGCATTACATGATCATGACATAACCAAAAGGTGTTGACTTGAAAGATTGTTCATCAAATTGGAAAGAAATCATAAATGGACAAAAAGTTTTATGATCAAACAAAATATGATGCGGCCAAGGAAAGACATCCTGAGGAAACTCCGAGGATAGAATCAAGCAATGCACACAGAGATCCTAATACCAAAAGTACTCCACAAAGATCCTGCCAGATTGATACCAAAAGCAGTCTATGGTAAGAGTATC